TATCTCTCTGCTACTTTTTTATTGAATCTTTCTGAGTAGGTGGCTTTCCGCAGGATGACAGCCTCATGACAGGCTCCTCATTAGAGCTGAGACAGTAATTGTGATGCATTTCCCTGCGCGGCCTTTTCACTTCTCCCCCCCCTCCTTCCTTTCCTCCTCTCTCCTTTTCCCCTGATTTGTAAAGTGATTGGATGTACAGACTCACTCAGTTTCTTAAATTATTGCCCAGCTCCATCCATCTTTCTCCATCCCATGGTGGGAAGCCACAATCCCTGCAGATGGAGTGCCCAGGGAGGAAGTGGCTTTTGGGGTGGGATCCTGGGATTCTGGGGATGTCCCCAGGAGCCCCCCAGAAGCATGGTGCCCATGAGGACCGGGCTGTCCCTCCCTTCCAAGGGCCATCCCTGCACTGTCACATGGAACAGCTCCCACCAGGTGCCTGGCAGCAGCGCCGTGCAGCGTTGCAGCGTCCAGCTCACAGCTGCAAGAGCCTCTCTTTTCTTCGGAAGGAAATCAATATTTCAGCAAGTTTTCATCTTTGGATCCTGCCTTAGATTTTTGTTTAGCCTCGGGACAAGCAGGTGTATTTGCTAAGCTGCTCAGCTGCCCAGCCCCTTACCAGGGATCAGACCCTTCGGGGGCATGCAGAGGCTCTGTTTGGCTCTGTACTGCACCCCATTTGCTCATGGGGTCTCTCTGTCCATCTGTGATCTCCCATCTCCTCTGCACAAACCCCTGTCCCTCTCTAGAGAGTTCATGGCAGGAATGGCCCTGTGCTGTCCAAAAAACCCAGGTACCCTGGTGTGGCACAGAGAGGTGACTCTTGTGTGGCAAGGAGATGGGACAGCGATGCGCAGTTCACCCCATGCTTCCTCCCTGTATGACCAAGTCATTTTTCCTCCCAAAGCCACTCTGTTGCTGTCACCGGGTGCTCTTTGCTGACCCAAGCCACCCCCACTTTCATCACCACTGCTGTCATCTTCCCCTTCACCGCCACTTGCTGTCATGCCATCGGATGCCATGCAGGCTCGCCGGAGAGGAGCAGGCTTTTGGCTATTTCCAAGCTAATATGGGGCTTTCTTTGAATTATTGTTTTTTGAGCTGGAAGGAAAGGAAGCTTGTCACACGAGATATCTGCTATCAGTACACAAATAACAGCCGGCCCATCATGGAACGGAAAATAATCGCCATGGAAGCTGAGCAGAGGGGGAGCCAGGAGGGATTATTATAGCAGCGGTGCTGTCAAGGAGCCTGTGTCAGCACTTCCATTACCACCCACCTGGCTCCTACATGGCCCCAGAGCAGTGTGCAGGGCCCCTGTGCGGGGTCATTGCTATTCAGGAGGGTTTCAGATCAACCAGCTGTGATGGGTGTTAAATGATGGAGTGGTTAAGAGGGAGAGAGAAAATGGGAGGATGAAATGGAGGGAGGCGTCTCCAAGGAAGGAGAGCTGTGGACTCAGACAAGTGGAAAACAGTTTGAGATATTGGGAAATGAAGAATTGGGAGGGCAAGTCTGGTGCTCCTGGGGACAAGGCAGGGAAAGGGAGAGTTTTGGATGCCCATGAGGAAGGACAGCGCAGTGAGAAGATGCTCTGGGACGTGGGCAGGTGGCCTAGGGAAGGACCATAGTGGAAGACGAAGCATGTCCTCACCAATGAGTGCATCCCCATGAGCATCTCCTGACCTGAGGTCTGTTCATCCCCTGCCAAGGCTGGGAGCCATTCACACACAGATGCCCTCTGATGGAACCTATGGAGAAATTCCTCCACGCGGGGGTGCGTCTGCACGTCAGGCGCTCGGCTTTAGGAGCAGGAAATATTTGGTTTCAACACTTGGAGTTCAACATTTCCACGGAGCCCAGGAGACCGTGCAAGCAGCGGGACATGCAGATCTGCCTTTTCATCTCTCTGGCACTGGCAAGCAGGGGCTTGGCGGGGGGAGTGCAGCAGAGCCGGGGAGGGTAAACATGTGGAACCAGAGAGTGGTGGGGAGAGAGAGGGGCAGGAAAACAAAAACACAGCTGCCAAGAAGAGAAGCCTGAAAAGAGCCATTCAGGGTCTCTCAGGAGTAGTCTTAGCACAGGGCAGGGCAGGGAGCACTTGCTGCTGGAGCAGGCAGCTCGGAGCCTGCATCTTTCATTTCACCCCAGTCGGATGCCCTCTGGTCCAGCTGCACGCACAACACAGTGTCCTTGGCTGTTCCTGAATATCAGGATGCCCAGCACTGGAGAGTGATGCACAGAGTGTTCACATCTCCCTCTCTCTCTGCACTGACATCTAAACCTGAACATTCCAGATTGCCATCCCACCACCCAGCACCACCAGCATGGAGCTGGGTGCCATGGGATGGGCAGCATGAGCGAGTGTGGGGCCATGGGGCAGAGCTGAGATGGGTTGTGTAGGTGTCCCACTGGCATGGAGCCATCCCCTCCCCTCTGCTGTCACTGTCACTTAGCCTAGCGCCTGCTAAAGTGCAGCTGTCAGCCCTTGGGCCAGGTGCTGGGGCTCCTCTGTCTCCTGCTTTAAGCACGACTGTGGCAGGCTGTGTGTCAGGGTCTTGGCTGCGTGGCCAGAGCCCAGATCGCCTGCCCCTCTTGAAGCTCTTCATGTAGCCTGAGCCCCAGCCTCCCACACTTGGTGGAGTCAGAGGACCTTGCCCTGCTGTCACAACACCTTCAGAGCAGATGCAGGGTGATAGCTGACATGACACAGAGCTGTTGCAATATCATTTGTGTAGGTGGTAGAGAAGGCCATCAATGCTTATTTCTCCTGCAGTGGAATGCAGCGAGGGTCCTTCCTATGGTCTGAGATCCCCCCCAGTTACCCCAGATGTTGAAATCTGAAATCATCTCTGCTTAGGAACACTTGCCCACCAAAGATCCCTAAGCAGTAGGCAGGAGACCAGCAGCACGTTCCCAAGTGGGACCCTGACTGCACATCTCTATCCAAGCCTCCTCCTACCACTGCCACTGTGCTCCACCATCTCACAGCAATCACACAAGAGAATACCACAGACACCTGCAGGTCAACCTCTAAGAGCATCCCCATCCCACCAGTGCAAACTGTGGGTGGCAGGGGAGGATGGGAGGGCCTTGTGGTGGTGGCTGGGACAGGGAGTGTGGATTCAGGGTGGGAGGACAGAGGGCAGCCACTTCCCCATCCATCTGCACACCCCACAGCGGGAATCCAGCAGGATTTCCCGTCCACTCAAAGGCTGCCTGTTTATTTTGGGAAGGAGGCTCAGACAGCTCCATTGTTTTGCTGTGAAGTTGGGGTTATAAATAGCAGGTGGTCGGGGACGCTCCTGGGCTATTTCAGCCCCTGCTACACAAAAGTGGAAAAGCTCCAGCAGGAAGGTGGAATTACTGAAATGCCGACCTTTCCCGCAAGGGTCAGCAGGAGCTGCTTGTTTGGGTTTGGCGATTTCTGGGCATTATTGAAGAGAGGGAGATGCACCCAGCTGCACAGCAGCATGTTTCATCCTCCCTTCTCCAGCAGGCAGTAGGGATGCAGAGCCAAGGGAAGTGCCTTGGGAGCAACTCAAGTCCAACTTGGGCTTTCCTCTTGGGCCTGCCTATGGGAGAGCTCCCAATGGACGGAGGTGCTGGAGAGGCAGGGGAAGGCCCCTATCACAGAGCTCTGCTCCGTGCCTCAGTTTCCCTCATATTCTGTAGGGAGGCCAAAGGAGAGGGCTCTGCCAGACACGTGCACTGTGTCCTGCTGGAAGGCAAGGATGAGCCAAGGTGACTCCAACTCATCTCACACCCTTCCTCTCATTAAATGCCCGCACCAGGCGCTTACAGAGAGCAGCAGGGCCCCAGTAAAGCTGCTCACACCAATGTTTTATACTTCAAGAAGGTCTATTCCTTTAATGGGGATTCATTTAACTGGGCTCTGCCATCGTTAGGAGCCATAAAATGGCACCTTTTGGCTTCTGATTGGAAGGCCACGCTGCACGTAGCCCCTCATATCCAGCGCTGGCTGCTTTATTGTGCATTACTGCCTCTCACTCGGATTTAACCAATTTGATCCATGTCTAATACATAAATAAATAATCCAGCAGGAGGGTCGGCGTTGGATGACAACAGGCAGCTATAAAGCATGTTCCTCCGCCGCAGCTGAGCCGGGCTCCGCACGCCCTCTCATGAGCAGAGTTGCTAATACAGCTGGGAGAGGGGCGCGGGCACCCCTGGGCTTTCCCCTTTTATTGGAACTTCATTGTTTGCTTTAGAGTTTTATTTTATGTTAAATAGGCGCTGTATATTCCTTACAGAGGGGGTAATAAAGTTTCCAAGCTGGAGGAAATTGGCTATGGAGTGGGGAAACCTGGCAGGGCTGGAGACGAGGAGGGTGGTGGTTGGGGATGAGGAAGGGGACAGCCGTGCCTGCATCTGGGGGTGAACAGCTCTGCTCTTCAGGGTCCTGACCCCCAGCTTCAGGGACATCACAGAGAATTTAAATACTTCTTCTAAATTAGTTAAGAGCAGAGAGAAATGCTGTGGCATTTGGCTCCGAGCTGCGTTGTCTGCTCTGGAAATAGGGGAAGCCAAGGTTACAGAGGAGCAGCCCAGAAATGGAGCTGTTCATAGACTCACAGAATCACAGAGTCATTAAGGTTGGAAAAGACTGCTAAGGTCACCTAGTCCAACTGCTGACCCATCACCACTATGCCCACTAACCACGTCCCTCAATGCTAGTTCCTTCCCCTGCTAAGTCACTGGGATGCCCTCATGCCCATCTGCAGGACAGAGCTAGTAACTGCCTCAAGGAGCACAAGAACTGGGGAGAACTGGGGGTACTCCAGAAGAAAACTGGATTCCAGACCACACCACTCCCCTCTGTGTCTGCTGCTTAGGAGCAGAAGGGATGATAAAATCTGACCTAAAGCTGTGCCCAAACCAAATGGAGCTCGGAGCAGGAAATGCCTCTTTTGGCCACTGCTCCAGGACTGAGGCTGCACAGGAGCTAAAGCTTTATCCCCTCTTTTCCTTCCCCACAGGCAAAAAGAAAGCGACATTGTTTGACAGCCAAGCTCCCATCTGCCCCATCTGCCAGGTCCTCCTGCGCCCTGGAGAGCTGCAGGAGCACATGGAGCAGGAGCTGGAGAAGCTCACCCAGCTGAACATCAGGTAAGCAGCCTGTGATCATAGAATCATGGAAGGGCTTAGATTAGAAGAGACCTTAAAGATCGTCTTGTTCCAAACCCCCTGCCACGGGGAGGATTGCCAATCACTAGATCAAGCTGCCCAGAGCCCCATGCAGCCATAGCAGAGGAGACGGCGACATGCAAGCAAAGCAAAACAGCAAGTGCTGGTACTTGCAGCCTGGCCCCATACTGGCTGCATGGGTTGCTGTGACACCTGGGATGCATCCTGCAATGGAGCAGGGTGGGAGCTGCCTTCTGCTCCTGATGCTTTCCCCAGCATGGCCAAGTCCTCCTTTTATTAAAAATAATAATAATAATAATAATAGCATTTTAACTGCTAGCAGTTATTTAGGAAATGGCTGTAGCCAAGGGTTGTCAGATCCCTGCTCCTGCCTTAATAAAATTCAGCAGCCTTGGAAAAGAGCGTGTTTATTTCAATTATTAATGAATTCCCCGGTCATTAAAAGGTGAGGAAAGGAATCATACCACCAGTGAAAAGCTGAGTTACGTCACCAGGTGGTAGGAGAGAAGGGAGGGCTCCTGTACCAGTGTGTGTGCGTGCACACCAGGGCAGGGGGCTTCCCATGGCTATGGGGAATGTGGAGAAACCAGATCCATCCCTGCCCCAGCTTGGCTGGGCTCTGCCTTGCAGCGAGCCAGAAATGCTCAGAAAGGGGAGAAGCAGAGAGGTCTGAGGGAGCACCCACACAGCATCATGTTGGATCCTGGCACCACACAGGGAAAGAGGGGGCAGGGAAGAGCCCATTTATCCCCCGCGCCACCCGCTCCCCTCGCGAGCGTAATTTATGGCGTCATTTGGGCCGCATCCAACTTAATAAAGGGCCACTGCAAATTAGTGAACAGGTTTAAATGAACAGAAGCAATTAGCGCTCCGAGGAGCCCATCAAAGAAGTTGGGCCAATATCAGAGCGAAACTGAAAGCGCGAGCCAGGCGCGGAGGACGGCTGGCGCGAGGCGGTGATGGGAAGGTGGCGTTTAATGGGAAAGGAAAGGAAACCCTAAATCATAAAGCGTGACAAGGGCCATTGTGGGCCAGCTGACAAATGAAAAAGAATGGCATTATTCCTTTAAATAACAGCAGCAGTTAGAGAGAAGACAGCTCTCCCCAGCTTGCCCTCGCTTCTCTCGCCCGCTCCGCTCGGCCATGCAGGCGGCGGCGAAGAATCAGAGGTCTTGATTAATTATTAAATAACGACTCTCCGCGCTTCATGATAGATAAGGCTCAATCCAGGCTGTGGGCCGTGACTCAGCACAGGAATAGGCTGCCCACTGCAGCAGTGGGCAGGATGCAGGTGGTGGGATGCTGGGCTCCGTCCCTCAGGTGGCCCCTTCTCCTGCTGCCCCAGCTCTTGCCGGGAGCGAGAACACATCAACAAGAGGAGAGAGAAACTAATAATGATCTCAAATAACCCAATAAACATAAAAATAAAATGTAGGCCTATAAACGTGACGGGCACCGGCAGCCCTGGCCGCTCCCTGCCAATGCTGACTCGTTACCGAAATGGCTGAGCAGCTGTTACTTATCAGTCTGATGGGGAGAAGCGAACCGAGGGGCTGCTTTCCAAGGGCCCTTTTTTTTTTTTTAGATTTAAAGAGGATGTAGCCAATCGTGGTGCACGCTGTTAAGTTTTAATAAACCTTAATGATTTGCAACCAAATCATAAATTTCCAGCACTAGGGGTTAGGAAGGCAGATTCCCTCCTACCTGCTGAGCCTGTAGCACTGAGGACTCAGCAGCTCCAGGGATGCTCCACAGAGCGGCATCCCCCAAGGCAGAATGGCCATTGGATTGCATTGGGTGCAAGCAAGCTGCAAGGCTGCCCTGGGGCCACATGGAAAGAGAAAAGGCTGGTAGCAAAGCAATTTGAGGGCTGCCTTGTTGCCTCCATTTTGGGGGCTTCAGGGGCATTGCTGGAGCACAGAGTTCCGTGCAATGGTGGTGGAAGAGAAGGAAGGGGATTCCTCCAGGCTGGAGCTGCGATAGGAGAGAAGTGAAGAGCCACGCAAGCACTGCCCATCCACCCACCCAAGGTGTCCCACCTTGGCTGCAGGAATGCTTTTGCTGTCCCCAGGACACAGGGACAGCCCTTGGCATGGGCAGCACCAGCACGGCGGGCACCACCCGCCGAGCCCCGCATGGCTCGGCCAGGCTCTCTGAATGCAAATTTCATTTCTGAGCCACTGGCGCTGTTTCAAGAGCCGGCAGCCTCCGAGCCCTTCTCGGTGTTACATATGTAACAGCCTCATTGAACTTGACATGTCAAATTCAGGCCATTTGTGCAAAATCTCCCTTTAATAATACCGTTTCATTTCGCTCAAATGAGACTTGAATGCATGTAAAATGGAAAAGGATATTTAAGCGCTAACATTAGGCAGATGTCTTGCCAGAGGCCGATTGAATATATGAGATTTTGAAGTGCTTAACACGTTTTCGGTGCTCCCTCTTAGAATATGTCACCTGGCTTTCTTTTTTCTCCCCCTCCTTCTTTTTACCCCCCCCCTCCCCATTCTATACGTGAAGGGTATAAATTGAAAGAAAACAAAACTACAAACCTTGGTTTTATGGGGTTTAACTCTTGCGGAGCGAGACTGTTGGTATTCCTCCTCCTAAGAGGAATTACCTCCTGGCTCACCTTGGTGGAGCACAAGCATAGCACAGCAGGGAAGCGGTGCTAGGAGGGATGCAGTGATGGGAGGGATGCTCTGCTCACTGCATCTGTGCAATGGGGAGAGCAGAGGTGTTTGTCCCTAACTGAGCAGCTAAGTAACACCAAGCTAAAAAATAAGAAATAATGACAGCAACTCTCTGCACACATCACTCCAAATACGTGAATACTCATGTGCATGAAGCCTGGATGCAGGTCTTCTTGATTCACATCCACCTGTTTTATTCCTCATGCAAGCACCTATAGGTGGAGAAGAGAGGCAGCTTTGGGGCTATGATTTGGGCTTGAGGTGGGAGGGGCACTGGGGATTCAAAAAGCCTAAGAAAGTCACATTACAAATATTACAGTTGCTGAGTCAACCGCTGGAAGGTTGGGAAATGTGCCTTTGGGTGCATTCTTTTTTAATAGCATGATGTGCTGTTCTTGAAAATGCAGTGCTCTTTTAAAAATGTATTTGGCAGGGGGATTTTTATTACCCTGCGTGACAACTAGCAGGTTCCTCCTTGCACGGCCAGCAGCAAAGTTGTGCTTCAGATCTGTGATTTCCCCTATCCATTTCCTCCACTTAGCAGCCCCTGGCAGCTCTCCTTGCACCTTGCCACCACAGATGACATCCCTGTGCATGCCTCAGGAGCTGCTGGTTCTTCTGGTCATTTTTCTGTCGTGTCCAGAAGTAATTTCTCTTCTGATTCTCTTGAAAGAGCCAAATGTGATCCCAGGCTATGGGATCTTGGGAGGTGGACAGGTCAACCCGCTTCCACACAAGCCATGGTCAGTGTCTCTGAGCACCAGGAGATGCAGCCTGGATTTCACAAAACTTCGGTGGCCTTTTTGATTAAAGTCACCCTATGCCAACACCTGAGGGCATACGTGACTACATGCCAGCAGCTTTCAGTGTTCCTCCTGGGCAGGTGGGATGCACCCAAGCAATTCTCACTGGCTCTTGACCCTTCTCCTGCACAAGGAACCCTGTGCTTAAGTTCTGCTGCTCCGGATGCGCTGAGCACCGTGCCACCCAACAGGGCCTTCCCCGAGCTGCAGGGGGAGGGGTGAGCAGCCATGCTGCCAGGCCCAGCAGGATGAATAGAGAGCATAAAACCCGAATTAGCTCTGTTGCCATGTGTCACAGCAGGGTCATGGCTCTTGTCCCAGGTCTCCTCGATTTATGCTGGAGACTTTAACCTGACAGCCAGGTATCTTGCTCAGTGAGCACTGCAGATTCGCCAATGTCTGAATGGGGAAGATGGGAGGTGCTTTGTGCCGAGAGGGACTTCTTTCCCAAAGCCCCATTGAACTGCATCCCACATCCCTACCTTACATCCAGCGGTCACCTGGGAGCACCGGGCCAAGAGAGATGGCACGTGGGAAAAAGCATGCTGAGCCCACGGGCATTTCCCTCCCACTCCTCAACTTCTGCTGCTGTTCCTGCTTTTCCTCTTTTCTTTTTCCACCTCCTCCTTCTCCTTTCCCTCCTGCTCCCCCTTTGCGTCCCCCTCCTTCTCTCCCCACCCCCCGGTATCAAGGCGACATCTCCAAGCCAAGTACTTTTAATTTCGCCCGTGGCCCTTGCTGACACGGTGGATATGCACAGCAAGTTAAATTCCCGCCTGATCAATAAAGCAGAAGCAGTGTGTCCGACTGGTCGATATTTTTTTATCTGTCTTCAGCCCAGTCCTGCTGATGACAGCCCCCTGCGCTTCAGCAAAGGCACTCAAGGGCATCGGGCTTTGGCAACACAGCTCTTTCCTTTTTTTTTTTTTTTTTTTTTAAATTTAAAAAAAAAAAAAAAAAAAAAAAAGTTCACAGAGTTTGGCCTTTCCTTAATAACGTTTTATGATTTATCTTAATTTTTAATTGAAAAAAATTTGCGAATTAATTGATTTCTGGGACTTGCCAATTAACATTGTAATTGGGTGCATGATAAATTTTGAGGGAGCGCCATTTTTCTCCTTCTCCCCCTTGTCACCCAGGAGGGGAATCGCCAGGGCAGCGCTTCCTCCCCGTGCACCCCCCTTCTCCCCGTCACTGCCCTCCTCCCCCTGTGCTCCTGTATCTTAAAGAAGGAACAAGAAAGCTAATAAAGTCATGTTATTAGAGTCTCGCCAGAGGTGACCCCTGGAGGCATAAATCCATGCTTGGAGATGCTGGGGACAGGTGCTATTAAGTGCCTGGCCATACTCTGTGCAGCGGGATGGTGCCTCTGGGCTCCTTATCCCCCAGCAAATCACACTGCTGGGATGGGGTCAGTCCATACAGCATGGAAGGTTTGCCTCATCCCCATACAGTGTGTCCCATGCTGCCTAGCAGAGCTGCTCCGTGTCAGAGCACAGTTCAGGGGTCTGGTAGCCAAATTGGGGATCATAGAATCACAGAATCACAGAATGGCCAGGGTTGGAAGTGACCTCAAGGATCATGAATCTCCAACCTCCCTGCCACACGCAGGGCCACCAACCTTCCCATTTAATACCAGACCAGTTATTACTAGACCAGGGCCCCATCCAATCTGGCCTTGAACACCTCCAGGGATGGGGCATCCACAACCTCTCTGGGAAGCCTGTTCCAGCCTGTAAGTGCCCAGGAGCAACAGCTGGTGAATGACACTTGGCCAGGACTCATGCTCTGCCCTGGTGTGAGGCATTTTGTCACCCACCAAATATCCTGTAAGCACCACCTAAAGCCCACATGCTTGGATGAAGTTTTGTCATGCTATCTACCCACCCCATGGTTGTCCTTCCTTCCCCACCCTGTGTGTACAGGGGGAAGGATGCCCACCCAGACCCATCTTTTCTGCACCAGAAAGGGTCAGAGCATCCTAGGTCCACACCTGCCACTGTCACTGATGGAGAACCACGGGAGAAAGAAGGGAATTTATGAGGAGAGAAGGCTGTTTCTTAACTAGTGAATGTGTGCTCTTAATGTAGTGGATTTATCTTCTTTCTCCTCCTTCTGATTTGTGTCTCTGCCCTTGCTGGGGCAGATTGATCACAGGCAGGGGGAGCAGGGGCTGTCCTGGTCCTGCTTTGGGTTCTCCATCCCAGCACATCCCTTACGGATGCAGAGCAGCCCCATGACCTGGTGTGAATGCATTTCCATTCTTGTGGGCCAGACATCTCCTCATCCAAGCAGCACTCGTAAGGCACTCTGAGTGCTCCTGGCAGTGCTGCAGGCTGGCAGCACCCAAAGCCCATGCCCTAACCCCAGGGTCTGTGGAATGGGGAGGAACAGGAGGCAGAGGGGTGCAGCACTTGACAGGGGGCCCAGCACTGGGGGCTATACACAGAAACCAGAGGTGAGAAATAAATCCTTGGCTGGTGATTTTCCCTTGAGCGATGCATGCCTTCTGCAGAACCTATTCTGAACTGCCATGTGAGTTGGGAATAATTAAATACTCATTACAGCCATGGTAGCAAAGAGCCCCCCGGATCAATCTTGCGCATGACCTTTCCCTCCAACTTCCCTCTTTCCAGCCACCTCCTTTTCAAATAGTGAAATGTTTCTCCATCTAACCCTCACTCTATACCACCCCTTCACTACCCAGAACCTGCCGAACCCCACGAGCAGGGACAGGGCAGGCAGAGGGGTGCCATGCGCTGGGGTCCCCTGCTCGGGGCAGTTTGTGCTCCTGTTGCATTCCTGCTGCAGTGTCACCTCCCAGCTGGGCACTGGGGCTCGCAAATATTGACTGGGAGAGCACTCCAGGGGCTTTGGCTGTTTTTTCCATCGCTCAGCCCCTTTCCCCGTTGGATGCAGGGGATGTTTAAATCAGTATTTGGAGCAGGTTAAACACTGTTCCCCCTGACAGCACAGATCACGTGCGGCGGCTCCGGGGAGCTGTCACCCGCGGCTGGGTGAGGGTTTGGCCTCGTGTAGTTTAAAAAAATATATAATCAAACCCTCATTTCCTTATTTAGGCTTCAAGTGACACTTCCACTTATTTAAACTGGCGTCCACAAAAATCCAATTCCCTCTCTGCCCGGCTGCTGCTGATTCCCTGCCGGCATCTGCTCTGCACAGCTCTGCTGCTGCTGCTCCGTCCCGAGGCTGGGAGCCCGAGCTGCTAGAAATAAATTGTGTCCACTGGATTGTTTGTACAGAAATACATCAGCTGGCCGCAGCGTGCTCCTGGCTTTGTGGGATGCCACATGGGAGCTGGCCATGCTCCAGCTGGGGCTGTCACATCCCAGGGGCTGGTGAGGGTGTTTTGGGGATGAGATGCAGGGATGGGAAATAGCAGGTGCATGCTGGCCTCTATGCAGCGTTGTGAGGCATGAGCACGAGCATCCCTGCAAAGCCACCAAGCATCTGCATGCACGGCATCACAGAATTATAGAATCACCAAGGTTGGAAAAGGCCTCTAAGATAATCCCATCCAACCCCACCCCCCATGCCCACTGACCATGTCCCTCAGTGCCACATCCCCACACTCCTTGAACACCTCCAGGGACAATGACCCCACCACCTCCCTGGGCAGCTGTGCCAGCGCATCACCGCTCTTCCTGAGAAGCTTATCCTCACGTGCAGGAACACAGAGCAGGAACATGGGCTCCCAGCTGGAGATGCAAAGCCATCAGGGCAGAGCCAGCTGCCCGAAGTACTGCCTCTTCCCAGGATGTTGCCTTTCTTATTTGGTAGTTTGGGGGGTGAGGGTCCCTAAAAGGCAAAGAAGTTGTTTTGCTGTAATGAACTAGACAAACAATTCCCCAAATAGATTAAAACTAACTGTAACTTATAAAAGTGGGTAGTAATTATATTTTATTAGCTAGCAAAACACCATTTTTTTATTTCGTAGGATAATTCTGTGTAAATCACCTTAATTAGAAGTGTCAGACGAGCCTGTGAATATCGTACTTAGTAACTAATTTCCTATGTACAGGTTATAATTTAAAACACATGGATCACTCGCTGAGTGGAAATATGCTAGCCATGAAATAATGTGGGGAGTGTTGGGGTTATTACTATGTAAATGTGTAATCATTTCAGACCACTGCAGCCTGGCTGGGTGATTAAAGAGAATCCCGAGGTCTCCAAAGATTGTGCTCTCTGCGAGAGCCTAGAGCGAAAAACTTTAAAAGGCACCGAAAAGTGTTTGAACTTTAAAGGTCTTGATTTCCCTTTTACCATTTTTAATTTGTCCGCGGTGTTTATGGACGGGAAGGTTTCTCTTTGCTGACAGGCCTTCCACTCGCAGCTCCTTCCCAGCACAACTGCTGTAGAGCAGATCTAAAAGTGGTTGTCAGCACTGGTCCTCCCAGTGAAGAACAATACAAATGGAGCCATTCCCCTTTGGTCCCAATGGCAGCCCGTTGGCTGGCCAAAGAAACTCTTCCTGGGAGCTCCGCTTCCCTGGCACTACAGCCATTGCTGGGAGGAATTAATGAGGTTCTTCCTCTCACCCTTGGAAAGGAATAATTTTAAACACCTTTAACAAGAAAAGGGAGGAAATGAGTTGTTGCTGTGGGTTGTTGGGGTTTTTTGTTGTTGTTTTTTCTTTAACCCAATGATTGGTTTATAGAAGAAAAAAAAGCACTGTTTCACACTTTGGGCAATTCAGAAAGTGAAAACATCGTGGGAGGTGGAGGATTTTAAGCTCAATTTTGGCCATCATCAAGGCAGAACAAGTTCTACCTGGCATGAAGGCAAGAGGGAGCTGAAGATGGCATTTATGTCCCAACAGAAGTCCCAGTTGCTCATGTTGGGAACAGAGATGGGAGGGGGCGGCAGGGCTGTGGGACCAGAGATGGCCAAGCGGTGCGATGGGATCAGCAGCATGCCATAGGCAGCAGCCACATCAGATGATGGTTGTGATGTCCTCAAAACACGCAGCACTTGTTCATACTGAGCAACACACTCCGGGCATACTCATGGAAAAGCAGCACCTCACCGACCTCAGAGCCTGGAGCAGTGCTCTGCCATTTGGAGTGGGGAGAGATCACCGTGGGTGTCACCTCATTGTGGGGCGGTGGCACTGGGAGAGGAGGGGACCGTAGCCCCGGGAGAAAACACCTTCCTCCATCCCTTCTCATTTCATAACACCCAGCCATCTGCCAAATCAAGGCAGATTAAAGCCAGCCAAATTCAATTTCTCCCCGCTGCCACTGCAGCTCGGCATCTGGGGCTAAAGTGTCCCCGACAAAGCGAACATGACAGGCACATTGCTTTTTTGTCACATCTAGTACCATGTTGATCTTCTAAAAGTCTCATAAAAATTTATTGATGTCTCCCATATTGCTGTGATTGAGAAGAAAGGAGCGTGTGTGTGCGGCACGGCGCGTGCACGGAGAGGGGGGGGGCACGTGCGTGTATTAATGCTCCTGAAGTAGATCTGATTTGATATGTCTTGTTCTATTGTCAGCATCTGTTTAGCGAGGCTTTTTAATACTTTCTGGCTGCCGATCACTCATCCTTAGCCTGGGATGCGGGCTTGCATACAAATTTTGTTATTAAACACAATTCCATCCCTCCCCCTCCCCCCCCCCCCCCCCCCCCCCCCCCCCCCCCCCCCCCATCCATCCATCACCTCCCCAGGCTCAGGGCATCCAGCCTGCGCCGTGAGCACCGGCGCTGGGGCTGGCAGCATATTTCAAGCTCCTTTTGCCTGCTGCAGGTGCTTTGCATTGACAAATCGAATCACGGGGAAATCATTTATTTCCTAATGCTGTTTGCAGCATGTTAGCGGGAGAATTTACATGAGAGAGATTACTTTAATAACCAAAAAATTACAGCGCGGGCCTCCCCGCCATGTCGGCTTTGATATGTAATTGTTTCAAGTTTAACCTGTCTGGAGGGGGGAAGGTGTTATTAAATCTGCAGCATCTCCCGCTGGCGAGGGCAGGCAAGGAGGAGCGCTGCTCGGGGACCTCCTTCCCTGCTAAACGGGGAGCAGACTGGCTTCACAAATCACTCCAGCCTGCGGCAGCAGCGGCAGCAGCGGGGATCTTCGTTCCCTTGCTCTTTACGCTGATTTATTCCCCCTCTGCTTCCCGTCCTCCTGTTTTATTGTGCCCAGCCCCATGCTGTGCTCACCACCTTCTCTATGGCTGCCATCCCATTGCCCCACAGGCTCACTCCCCATTTTTCCCCAGGGTGGAAGAGCTCTTTGCTGTTGGAGATCCCTTCCAAGAGCTCCTCACGCCGCCCACTGCAGTGCTTTCATGGCTCTGACCCCATTCTCTTCTCTCTTGGCAGTAAGAACTCCATCCTGAAGGATGCTATGGCAGCAGGCACCCCCAAGGTAAGTGAGTACCTCTTGAAATGTTTTTCGCTGGAGTGATGCTCCTTATTTCCCATCATCTTCCCATCCCACTCCACTCTATGTTCCCTGGGGGTGATACCATCCCAGGAGCCAGGCTAGCACAGGGGATGCTGTTCCTGTTCCCCACCACATCCCGTGCAGCTGAGGGACGCTGGAGTTGAAGGACCCAGAAGGCTCCAGGATTCCAGATTGTGTCTAATGACAGCTAATGAGAGCTGATCACACGCATACTGAGCTCAGACTGTGAAATCATGCACGGGAGCTAAGGGGCCAGAGCCATATGCCAGCTCTGGAAGAGGGAAGTGGGGCCAAAACATACCCAAATCACTAGAAGACCCATTCTCAGATGGATTCCCCTCCCAGTACCCTCCTCCCATCCCCTTGGCTCAACAAGACCTGCTTGCCCGGAGCAAAATGAATCGTAGCATCACTGCAAAGGGCATCATCTGTTAATTAGCTGCCCTTAAGATGATGCTGCAGCAGGAAGGATCAGTGCTTGTGCAGGCAAGTGGCTGACAAGGAGCTCTGGGCCCTGCTTGCCTATTTTTTTCTGGATGCTTTGGGTATCTTTTGGAGCAGCTGGAATGCAACATGGGGGCCAGTGCATTGCCAAGCACATAAACACCCTGCAACCCCCTGGGCCAGGGGCTGGGAGCAAGCATGCTCCTGGGATACCTCCTAGGCAAACTCAAACCCAAAGGGAAAATAAAGATGCACAGGGAGTGTGGCTGCCTTTGAGCATCCTGAAGGAGCTGAGAGGCACCTGCAAAATAACGCCTGTGAGGGAGAGGGACGGGAGGGAAGACAGATGAGCTGTTTGGAGGGATATGCACCACATGAGTGGCAGCCAGCAGATAAAGCAGAAGGTCCATCTCTCGGCAGGGCCGGGCTTTTGAAGTTTCCATTGACAAAGAATCCCATTTGCCTTGAGTGAGGGGATTAAACTGGGACTGGAGAGTCGTTCTATGTAAAGGAGATCAATCGTCCCCTGTCACCACATGGATCTTTTCCCTTTGCCCGTCACGTCTGGGCCTAAGAACATTAACTTCAAGAAGCCACGAGAGCAGGGAGGGAGACAGTGAAATCAGGAAATCTTTCATTCCCTTCTCAGAGAGCTTGAAAGCCTCCCAGCCCAGGAGGATTCATTATTTCTAGGTGGTTTTTGCTGGGAGACAGGTCCTGTGTGGCACGGACAAGTGATGCGCTGACCACCGGGCAAGCTTGGTGTTAAAGTCCTCTTTGTCACCACACAGGGCTCAGAGGTCGAGGTGCGAGCCAAGGCTGCTTCTTCCCTTGTGCCCACCAAGCCACTGGGATGCAAATTCCCTCTGAAAAAGCCCATTCCTTCCCCATAGTTACCCCAGCAAACATCTCTCTCTGCTGGTAGCAGTAAGTGCACATCCCTCGCTTCCTGCTCTCCTGCCCCTCAAGAGCTGTCACTCACTGTGCTGGGTCAATTTTCATGGCAATATGTCAAAGAAAATCCAATCACTCAACATGGGATGCGATGAACGCAGGATTATTGTATCAAGTTCTTCTATTATCAGGGCTGACTGAGGCACTGACGGCCAAACAAGGGTTGCGAGATGGGAACTGCAGACAATGTGTCTGCCCATGCAGCAGCAAACTGGGTAGCTCCAAAGTGGTGCCTTCATCCTCATGTTGTTGAGAGCCCAGATAGCTCCCACATGTGTATCTGAGCTTTGCAGAAGGCAGAGGTGCAAAGAAAGTGCTAAAAACCCACCTCCTTTGCTGTAGGAGAGGTGTTCCCCATGCATAGGAATTAGAGGAGAGCCCTGGCTTCCCTGTGGCACTCATCTCTGATGACAAGCCTGAGACATCAGGCTGGATGGGAAAAGAAATCCCATTCCCCAACACGAGCTGGACGTTGGTCAGTAACCTTTCACATCATTCTGAGTCCTCATGGAGAAGTCCAACAGCAGAGCCACTCAGGAGGGCACGTCCTGGAGATGTGTCCCAGTCAGCCATGCCCCAGCCCTCTCAGAGCCCAGAGTGTCTGTGCAGGACTTCCCCAAAGGCTGACTGTTCTGCTTGTCCTTGAGAGGTAATGCTGAGTCTTGCACCCCCATGTGCTCTCAGTTACCTGAGAATGCTTTTTGCCACTGTCTGGCTATGAATCTCCTTTCATGGGTATAGAATCATAGAATTGTTGGAAGGAACCCTTAAAGGCCATCTAGTCCAACTCCTCTGCAATGAACAGGGACACCTACAGCTCTATCAGGTGTTCAGAGTCTTGTCCAGCCTGACTTTGGATGTCTCCAGGGATGGGGCACCCATTACCACTCTGGCTAACCTGTTCCATCATCTCGGTGGGACATTCTCTGCCCAGAGAGGTGAGATCTCTCCCCCTAAATTTCAGTGACTTCCTCTTGGCCGTACATGACTTCAGATTGTCTTTCCCACCAAAGCCCAGCTCACGTGCCAGCTCCCACCACCAGCAAACACTCCGGGTGCTCCTGGACCTCCGCTGCGATCCCCCACCCACCCCGCAGTTTTACAGCTTGGCTGAGCAGTTTGAGAAAGAATTACAGCGCCTAGAGGGAAATTTGACCACTAAAGCCCTCCAAGGAGAAAGAGCTTTGAAACAAGCAAGATTTGGAGCCTGAAACCCTGACGGAACGGCTGTGCTAAGCCCTTGCCAGCTGCCTGGCTGGAGATGAAATTTCTAGCACGATCATTTAACTTCTCCATATCATGTCTGGTGGTAGGGGCAGGGGCCAGTGTTGGGGCCCCAGGGCTTTGACTCCTTCTCTCGTGTCATGAGCTCGCTGTAGGGGCTCGGGAACGTCACGCTCCTCCCCATGCAACACCGATTTACGAGGAAGGATTAAAAAGCCAAATCTGAATGCTGTGGCAAGTCTGCAGCCAAGGTGGGGACATGGGAACAGCCTGCAGATCTGCGAAGAAGGGGAAATTACCTCGGTTGCATGCCGGCTGCCAGCTCAGGGTGACAAATACCAGAGCCACTCCAACACAAACCTCCAAGAGGTTATGTGCCATAACACAAATCAACGCTGAACAAAGCTCCTTGCTTTGCTTGGGCTGAACATCTGTGCTGGAGACACTGCACTGGGCAGGAGGAGCACACACGGACTTGGTCCAGGGATTGTGTCCCAGCTCCAGACCACAGCTCTGTCCCCTCCATCCTGTCTGTACCCACTGGTGGCTCAGTGTGAAGGGGTCCCCTATCCTGTGCAGTCACATCACTGAAATAAATCAGCAGCTCCCTGCTAACACTGTTATTTCTGCTCACTATTCACATCCTTCCCATGTTGAAGCTTTCTATCTCCAGTTCCATCCCACCCAGATAAAAGCCACCACATAATTTCGCCTTTCGCTTGCCTGGCAGCAAACGTGGACCCTCCAAAAGCTTCTAGGAAAGTCAGCTTTAATAGTAGCATCTTTTTGTCAGGGATCCTCCAGCAGCAGCATAACAAATGGTGAGCAGAGTGAAGGGGGAAAATCGCAGCCAGGTCTGGTATCACTCATTGCTTTCGGGTTACAGTTCCCAAGTGATAACAGCTATTAGCAACACTTTGACGGCTTCCCTACCGTGGAGGGGAGGGCAGGAGACAGAAAACATGTCAAGCCATCACCTCCATGTTAAGTGATAAGTACCTATTTAGGCAGCAGAGTTAAAGCTGAATGCATCAAGCAGGGAACACTTTGTGCCAAAATAAAAAAAAAATAAAAATAAAAATAAAAAAAAAAAGGTTATAGATACATAAAAAGCAGGGTTAGGGTATTTGTTCTGCTGACAGCAGCGGTGATGGATTGTTTAAGAAAAATAGACTCCCCGTGTTTTTCCAGGGCTGTCAGAAAGCCGGAGCCCAGGGCACTTTAATACCCTTGAATGACCAGACTTGAAAGGGAGCGGGATGTCAGCTGGGCTGGGTGCAGCTTCCATCCCTTCCTGCGTGATGGAGGTGATGCCGTGCACCTTTGGTTGGTGCCAAACCTGCCCAGCACCAAACGGGGAGAGGCACAGCAGGAGGGGCCGCAGGAAGGAGCGAGCGCATGGCTTGGACAAGATTGATGGCCTCGTTGCCATTAAGAAAAAAATTAGCCGGTGGCGGCTATCATATTAAAGGGTGAAGAAGCCGTGAATTATTTTCTTAAAGATCTTATCACTTACAATGATAATTTTACCTTCCAAAAGGCCACTTTTAATGAGGCGAGCCAGGCAAAAAGTCATGATTTAATGCCAGATTTTTTTTTCCAAACACATTTTACTGCTTTTTTGTCCATGTTTAAAAAGCGCCGGTGACCTTTTTTTATTTAGCTTGCCCCAGGTGTAATGCTCAGGCTGATCCTCTCAGGGTTTATAACCTCCGCAGAGAGTGCCTTTACCCAATGGAGAGATGATTTAAAGGGGAGGGAGAAATATGAGGCTGCACAGCCGCTCACACATGTGCCCTCAATGTGGGGAGCTGTGGTTTGCCAGGGAAGGGGCAGCAGGAGATGAGGATGCTCTCTCCCAGTAGCTCCAATCCTACACTGGCACCTAAGGCAGCAAGCAGCCCCAGTTTTGGGGTGAAAAGTTGGAAGAGGGCTGGAGGAAATATGCAAAGCTGCCTTCACCTCTACAGCTGTCTTCCCAGATGGTGGTAGTGAGATGGAGCAGGGCTCTATCACTGCCTCTACTCTGCTCAGTGGTACCAGCTTGGCCACAGCCACTGGGAAACAGCCCCAGTGCAACAGTCTGGGGGGAAAGAGGCCAAAATCAGGAGGGCAGAGAAGCTGGCCAACTGTATTAGTGGACTAGATGCCCGTTAAGGTCCCTTCCAACTTGAACAATTCTGTGGTTCTATGAAGTCACCCTTTCCTCCAGCACCTTTCCCAATGCCACAGCCCTTAGGACTGCCTCTCCCCTGCCCCACGCTGTCCCACCAGCATGGGCCAAAAGGCAGAGTGTGCCACATCTCCAGGAAACAAGGAAAACAAATGAAGTCAAGCTTCCTAACAGCAAAGGGGAAGTGTGACTTGGCATCGCTAACGCCGTGTTTAACATGCCGGCGAGGTATTTAGAATTGAAGTGCTTGCACACAATTTAAAAATAGACAGTTTATTAATCTAAACTGCAAGTGTATGTAGAAGAGGCCCCAAGATTGACATCTTTGGGATTAGTTTAGCCCTGCGTTTTTCCAGAGGTCATCGCCATGGTGCTCAGGAGGTTTGTGGAATAAATGGGGCCGGCGTTCTTCCCAGGACCACACGCTAAAAACTAATACATAACGTTTAATTTACTGTCTCCATAGCTAGCCCAACCATTTTTCACATAATAATATTGGATTAGAGCTACCAAGAGGCTGAGGGGGGAGCGGGAGGTGGGGAGGATCTGTCTGTCTGTTGCCAAAGAATGGGGAGATGGGTGGTTTTCCCCCTTCTCTAGAATACATTGGAAGACAAAATGTATTTAACTCTCCCAGCTCCGGGTGTTTGGTTTATTAGTGGGGAAAGGGCAGCAACACTGCCACAACTGGGACGTTGTTCTGGAGCCCTACTCAATGCCCACACTGCCCTGCTCTCCTCTCCAGGAGGGCTGTCGGAGCCCAGGGATTGCCTCCTGCTGACCAAATGGATTTGTATGCTGAGTCATCCTTCCACTTGCTTGTATCTTTCAAAAAAATGCACATTTTTTCATGTTTCATTTCAGCCCAGAGGCAAATGTTGCTGGAAAGCTTGCCTTTCTCCAAGGTATTATGCTTTTTAATAATGTTGTCACCACACTTGACCTGTCCAATTCAGATGATATCTACACTTCCCTTCGCAAACATACACATCTCCGAGCAGTCATTTATTGTTGGATCTTGCCAGCTGATTCCTGGAAACAAACATCTGGAGAGCTGAGCTTACAGTGTATATCTTTTACAACGTATTGTGCTACATTTAACCTAGTTTAGTTAATTTAGATTTCAAATTAGAATTTTAAATTGGATTTCCCCCTCCAATTCTTCCAATAATAAACTTGACTCACAACTCAGCATACATTTTTTTAAATGATGTCAAACTCCTGCAGCAATTTCTCCTCTCAGGTTCACTGCATGTAGAATTTGGACTTAGCTACTGTTGACTCGAAGTTTATCAGTGATTTCTTAGGTCTCAAATATCACTGATCTTTTTAACCTTCTAAAAGGCCTTTTTTTTTTTTTTTCCCTGTGCTACTTATTAAAATAAATAGCATCGTTACAGAATGAAGGGTGGCTGTGCAGCCGAGGTGCTGAGAGCTTTAATGCAAAGCTGCTGAGAGATTTAGTGCAACTTGCAGAGGCAGATGAGCACACGCTGGCACTGCTCCATGCCAGCACAATGCTGCATTGCCATATGGTTTGTGCGGGTTTCTGGGGTGGTTTTTTTAAGCGGGGGACTCTGCTGGATCCCCCATGGCATCTGCAGGGCAGTGCATAGCTGTGCAGTGCTGACACTGCACATGCAAGATGCTCTCCAGCACAGGAGGGGCACACGTTGAGCAGCACTCACTGGTGTGGCTATTTCATTACCCACATGTGCTGGGCAACCTCTGTGGTCCAGAGATGCATTCTTGTAGCTCATCTGTCATATGGGGCAGGGGATGGTTGATAGGAAAGAAAGCAAATTTAAGGCAGTTCTCATCCTCTGAATCACTTTAAATTGCACGTCCAGGCTCAGCCAGCTGTCCCCTTTGGGCTGTGCTTCTAAAACCAGCAGTGCATGTTGCAAATAGCATCAGCTCGACCCTGTTGCTCAGCCAGCAGACCCACTGGCCTCTTCCAATGGGATCACTCATCACTGTCTGAAGGACAGTTGTCCTTTTGTTGCCTAATGTCATTGCACTGGCTGTAGCAGGCCACAGCCCCGCAGCCCACCCCCAGGCAGGGCAGGAGATGCACAGCACGCGAAGCACAAGGCCAGCCTCACATTGCTCTCCACGCCCTTGAGGGCAGCTTAGTCAGGGGCAGAGCATTGGACGATGCTCACAGCATGAATTTCTCCTTTCTCTCACAGTCAATTTTGTTGTCGGCTTCAATCAAGCGGGAAGGAGATTCTCCAACAGCATCACCCCACTCCTCGGATGACATCCATCACTCAGACAGATACCAGGTAAGTAGGCAGGCACCGTCCTTGCTCTCCGCTGTACGTGGGAGCCAGCTCGCCCCAGCAGCTCTCCATCAGCTCCGCATGCCTATAGAGCACCTTGTCCCTCACGTGGCCACGCAGGTGTGCTTTTGTCTGCAGAGTCCTCCCAGTGCTGGCTTTCAATCACAGCTTTAAATCTTCATAGAGGTTTCTGTTGCGTTACGTTCATCATCTCTGCCGTTGCCATGGCTGTGTTTGTCATTACTTACCCCGTGCCTCTGTGAAACTTTCAGAGAAGTGATTTTTTTGGAAAGCAGTGAATGATGTCAGCCTGCAGCAGGCCAGAGCTCTCCATTTCACCTGTGTACTGCTGCCCAGCAAACGGACTCGTGATTCCCACTTAAATTTTGGCAGAGCCATGCCACCATGTTTTATAATCCTGCAGGTTATAAACAAACAAACAAACAACAAAAACATTCTCTACCCAGAGAAGTAGCAGGTTTAGACCTGCTGTGACACACTGAGTAAAAGCTCAGGGGAGACAGAGCAAGAAAGGAAGAAGAAGGCAGCAGCCAGAGTGCAGCTCAGCTTGCTGGGGATCTGTTTGTGGTTTGGGGGCAGGCTGGCACACGACTTCTGTTCAAGACACATCCAGATTGCTTGGCTGCAAGCCTGTGCTCAGCCACTGGCTTCAACAAAGCTCTGAAAGGCAACAGAAAAAATAATGGTAGTCTTTAGCACAGCACCGAGCGTGCCTTCAGCTACTGTGGGGAGAGGCTGGGTGTGCTATGGCTGTATTTGCGTCAGGCATAAATCCACAACCCTGTTTGCCATTCTACCCCTATATCCTGTCCTACACCCATGGCCCAGTGTCCCTCACAGCGATGTCCTGTGCCCAAGGTCAAGCCGTTCTACATCAGCCACTCGACAGCTGCCCAGTCTGCATTAGGATCCGCAGAAAGAGAGCTGGTGACCATTCTGTGGGCCCAGCCCAGCAGCCCCAACTAAAGCATGTGCTCTAGAAGATAGGTCCTATTAATAGCAGCAAAAAATGTGCGCTTATTGCCCATTATTCTGTCCTCTGACCTATTTATTGGTTATATTACCAAATAAAGACAGATCCTCCATTGTTTGCTACGTACTCTAAGGTACCCCTCAGTTCTAATGTTGTGTCATATCACGGTCGCTTCACCCTCATATGAGACCTGGTACAAAGCAAGAGCAGCAAACCCCACAGAAGATACAGGAATGCCTAATTCAGGTATTCCTGCTCTCTTCCCCGCCTGCTTTTTAAGGCTAATGAATAAATAATGTTCTTTCCAAGAGGGTGTGGAAAAGCCTTTTGCAATGTCCCCCTTTGCTCAGGAGCACCCCTTCCCACCCCATTTCTCCAGATTTCAGTCTCTGTGAACTTGGCAGTCCCTTGCAGTCCTCTGTTCCTATAAATTTTTATTATGTCATACTTGAGGACAAATATGCTCAGCAAAAGCCCCCTCTATGTGCTGAGTCTAGTGAGTCTCTAATGTGTTTTAAGTTTGTGAGTATATTTTATGGAGGGTTGCAGCCCTTAATGCAAATGTGTAATGGGAGCTGTAAGTCTGCACTGCAGGGAGAAAAGACCTCTGGGGCCTGATTTTCATTTATGCCTATGCTGGCTGCTTTATGCTCCTCAGGCAATGTAAAGGGACCTCAGAGTGGGTGCCAGGATTGTGTAAAGCCTCAGCCTATCCTTAATAAAGCCACAACATGAATGAGAATTCATTCTTCCTGGCGTACCAAGCGAAACGTTCAGGAAGCAGAGCAGAAGACTCTCGCAGTGACTTTAAAGCTGCAAAATTTAGCTTTCCATAAGCAGAGGTGTGCTAGTATGACGAATGCCCCTTGTGGGGATTTAATAATAGCAAATATTCATTGTATTAGTGGCATGCTAAGACGGGAATAATTGGAGTATACATTTTCAGAATCCCCATGGCTTGGTTTTCTTAGTCCTCATGCTTATTTACCACGGGGACATTTAGGGAAGAAGGAGATCTGTGAGTAGGAGCGCTGCACGAATGCTGGCTTGCTCAGTGCCTTCCTCTACCAAAGCCTCGGTGGTGAGAGTGCCTCCTGAAAGACAGCTTAATTAATTAAAAGGGTAGAAGCAACAATCAGCAGCTTTGATTTTGTAAGTAAGCGCCCCATTGGGTAAGGACCCCTTGAGTCCAGTTGCTCCTGGGCTCCTATTGGCCATGTAGCACAGGGTGCCAATTGCCCCTGGGTTCTGATTGGCCATCTGCCCTTGGGTTCTACTTGCACCCGATCTCTGATTGGCCACGCACGCCGGAGCCCCACTTGTCCCCGATCTCTAATTGGCCAAACCTCCCTAGCTTCCAACGGCCGCTGAGCTCTGATTGGCCGGGGCTCGCCGAACCTTGCTGCCGCCTGTCGGTTGCCATGGGAACTTCCTCTCCTCTCCCCGCCGCTTTCCTGGTGAACTTTCACCCGCTCGGCGGCGGGTCACATGACCGGGGCCAACATGGCGGCGGCCGCTGGGGGCTGATCGGCGGCGCCTGCCGGGCCGCGCCGTATCCGCCCGCATCCCGGGCCGCGCGAGAGGAGCCGCCCCGGGGCCGCCGCCTCGTCGCCCCGCCGGCCGCCCGCGGCTATGCAGAGCGGCAGGAGGGGGCCCGGCGGCGGGGGCCGGGAAGAGGTGGGTGCTGGAGTTGGGCCGGGGGGGGCGGGCCCGGGGCCGGTGCGTCGGCCCGACGATGTGCGGGGCGGGGGGGACCGGGCCTTGTTTACGAGGTGGGGGCGGGTGTTTACATCCGGCGGCCGCGGGCCGGGGGCGCTGACACGTGTCCGCTCTTGTCTCCCCTCTGCAGACCTTCCTGCGGGTGCGAGCGAACCGGCAGACCCGGCTGAACGGTGAGTGCGGGCCCTCCTCCATCCTCCCGGAGCGGCCCGGCCCCGCTGTCCGCTGCTGGGGTCCCGCCGACGAGCCCGCGGCGTCCCTGTGCGCTCGGGCTCCCGTGGCGCTGCCCGGGTCCTGAGGAAACTTTCAAGCTGCGGTGTGAGCGTTGCTGTATCTGACGTCACCTTGTGTGGTTTTGGGTTCTTGTGCTCTCGGTCACAGCCGGTGCGTTAATTTTATGCTCGAGTTTCTGGGTGTCGATAGCAGCAAGTAGACGGGGGCATCTAGTGAAAAGTGCTTTAGTATTTAGAAGTATTTAGAAAAACTTTATTTTGGCTGAAGCTGAAACGCTTCTCCCAGATTCGGAGGAATTGGAACTTACCGTGTACAAAGTCACAATAATCACTCATCTGATTTTCTGTGGCCTGTATATGACCCGTGTATTTTGTATGGCCTGTAGCCAACCCAAATTGCAGCACTCAGGTGCCATTCAGGTGCTTAAGCTGCCAGGAGACACGTTAATATTGAGCTTCTTGCTGTGGTTGTGTAGGACAGAGTGGGTGGTGTCATGCTGATGCAGCTTAGTTTTAAAAAAACTTAAAAAAAACAAAAAACAAAAAACAACCTTTAACCAAATAACAAAAAGTTTTAGATTGTACCAGTACTGGAATAGTTTGCTTACATTTGACGTACTACTTCTTGTATAATCTTAAACGAGTTGAAGTTTTATTAAGTTACTGACCCAATGTCTTTGATAAGAAGTACTGAACTGAATTCAGAGGTGGCTTGGGGAGTTTCAAATACGCACCCTGAGGGCCAGAAGCTCTTGAAGGTCTGTCAAGTCATACAACAAAGAGATGAGTTGCCTTGTATCAATATCACATAATTGTTGGCATGTGTGCTCACATCTGCACTGCTAGATGAGCGCAGTGAGCTGCCTGTTTGCAGGCAGTCCCCTTTCCTGACACAGACTTCAGATGACTGAAACACACTCAGGTGTTACTCTGCAATGACTTGTTTTGTGTGACAAAGGTCTCTGGAGTCAGTGATGTCAAACTGTTTCTTTATCATTTTTGGATAGTTCAGTCTAAGCTCACACCTTCTGCCTTTTTTTCTGGCCAATAATTTTATTTAACAAAAAAAGTCTGAACCAGGCTTGTGAGGTTCTTGGCGTTGTGGAGTCCTCCAGGATGAATGAAAGCTCTTGATGACAGCGTGCTCTGCTGAACCAGCTCAGCAGTGCTTTCTGCTTTTGACTTTAGCCTGAAGCAGGACTGCAGCATAGTCAATATGCGCTGCAGTCTGGGACATGCTTAGGGTTGTTTTTGTGAACTGAAGGGGCTTGTCAGCTGAAGGGAGGCAGCTACTTCTGCACAGCATTTGCATTGCTCTTGCTAAACCTTCTACTCTTTTTAGGGGTACAGCAAACAAAAATAAAAGTCATAATCCAGATGAGGGCATTTGATTAAATAATACGCTTACAACTGTGATTATTCTCTTGTGTACCTTAGCAGGACTAGGTGCAGAAGCTAGGAAGCTGGATGCAGAAATACTAGCTGAAGTGCTTTGGTCAAGATGTATTGGAGTTGGTTCCTCCTCACCTTATCTTTTTATGAATCTTGATTATTCCTATTCCCAGGATATGCCCGTAGTGATACCTGGCTCAGTCCTGAGCAGGTAGATGAGCATCCCGCTGGGTGGCTGGATAGCGTATTCAGCTGCTTTCAGTGCTTATGACCACTGAATTCTGCCTGCTTTCTCATTTGCTCCTCCACATTTGTACCAAAATAACTTGTATTCATAACCTTCACCATGTTGTTGTTAAATAGTTAGTTAACCAGTATCATTCCAGATGGAGAATGCTTGAGTGCTTTGGGGAAAAAAAAGCTTATTTATGTACATCTTGTGTTTTAACAAGCTTCTTATCAATCACACAATTTTGTAGCTTGTTCTGTGAGAATTATTTCCTTATCCTTCTTGGTTTGCATGGACAAAAAATGTGTGGGACATGTCCAAGACATCTGGCTTTCTGCTTCATGTTCTTATTGACACAGAGCATATAGAAAATGCGAACTTATGTTAAACAAAAGCCTACTATTTCACTTGTTTCTATTATATTTTAAAGGTTCTTCTCAGTGTTGCTGTTACCTGTTTGTCTTGCTGTCTCTGTGAAGTTTCTTACCACCTGAGCTTCAGGATCACTTTTGGAAACTCCCCCTGTAAAGAGGGACCTGCAGTGTTTGCTGTTCTCCCACGTAGTCCTTGACTCAGATCTCAGCTGTCCCGGCTCTTTGTACCTGAGTAGCCTCTTAGATTTTCTGGACATGTTTCATCCCACTGTGGTCACTTGAGACAGAACAGGAGCTAAGAAAAGGGAAGGTAGAGAAAGGGATGTCTTCTGTGAGCCTGGATGCAGTGTAAATAAGACCTTATGTGGTTCACATATTGGTCCAAAATTCTGATTCTGTAAGTCAAACCTTTAACTTGCCTTGAATTGTACATAAGGTAAATGCATTTGTAAGCTCTGGAGCAGCAGATTAACGTTGTCTGTAAGACCCTTGGTCGAGTGTTTGTATCTGAAGTTTCCTGCCAGCCTGTGAGTTAATCCAGTACCTTTCATCTGTGCTAAACTCACTTCATGGGGTCGTGTCCTTGTGAACTTGGGCATATGAGGTGCTGATTCCTGATGTACCTATATGTTAAAGAAGGCATTTTGTTCATTTGACTTTTTCCCATGTTGCTAAAGTCAAAACTCGAAGCCACTCTGTAAATTGATGCTGAAGGAGTTTAATGCTGCAGGTCTACTTAGAGGCACAAAGTAATGATTAGTGTACCAGAGCATGGATTCAGTAGGTCAGGTCTGTGCCACCCTTGGAGAACAGCGTCAGATGGAAGATTGCTGAAAATTATCTGTGTCGTTGAGACCCTTCTGTGAATTTGGCCGTTAATGTTCTCTCTCAGGCAGATGAGCAGCAAATTATACACAAGGTCTGAAACAGATTTATTCTTGACCATCTGTTTTCCTGCTTTAGCTTGTTCTTGAGGTGGTTTTTTGTACTCTGTCATAGCTGTCTTTTTTCCCTTGGATCAGATGCTCTTGGGTAAGTCGATCAGCCACAGAAGCCTTTTGTGATGAGTCCAACAAAGTGTAAACACTCCTCAAGACTCTTGTAGTAGATTCATGGAGAGCAGGTGCTACCTCTCTGCCTGAATATCTCTGATTCACATTTAGGGGTATTTGCAAAGTTGGCATTCTCAGTAGAGCAGAATGAGTCCTTACGAAAATCCCTTTGCAGCTGCTGAGGAAGGCAGAGAAACCCACCCTGAGTGGGTGCTGATACTCAGCCTGCCTCTCTGTGTGGAGGTGGTCACTCATGGTTTGTTGCTGCACTCAATTCACCACCAGCACACCAAGTGCTCCGGTAGCTGGTGATGGGTGGGGGAGGGACAAAGCTAGGTGATTTTCACTGGAAAGGAGACCAAAATGTTTCCATTTAATTTGATTGGCCTGCCATTGCAGGAGCTGCTAATGATGTCTGCATGGGACTCGGGGGACCACTCAAACTGGTGGAGGGAATCATAAGAGATATTGCGAGTAACTTAATCATCTCCTTGGATGCTGCAGGAGAGGTTTGTCTAGTGTCCACTGCTGGATGCACTGGAAGAGCACTCTGGATGTAATTAGACAGCCCCATCCTGAGGGTGGATTTCTGTTTACTGGGAAGCGTGGCAGTGAAAACTAAAACCCATTAGCTTTCCTTCCAGGAAATTTTTCTGAGCCAGAGCATAACCTAATCCTTAAGCATTAATAATTCTTAAGCCTAGATGGGAAGAGCTGTGAGAAAGACACTCGGTCCCTTCCACCTGCGGAGGGTGGTCTGGCACCCTCTCTCCCCTCCTGTGGGAAGGCATCACAGATTTGGAAGCTCAGACTGCTTCTGCCTGTGTTTTTATCTTGCTGAATTACAAGAGGGAATCACGTTGTTTTTTTCTTTCTCCTTTCTTCTCCCAAGCTCCTGCGACAGGAGTGTGGGGGAGAGGGATTAGTGAGCTAATTAGAAATGATCGCATCTATCAACACTAATTAAGAATCCTGTGGTCTCACTTGTGTGTTCTTTTGAGCGGTTCCCCTTCGGGACAGCACCACAATCACCCCCTGCCTTTGGGGCCGCTCTGTCCCTGCCATGCTGATTGGAAGTGATGGCAGGGCTGCGTGTCGGGTATGGAAAATGTGGCTTGGGATGGGCTTTCGAGACTGCAGCAGTCCCTTTGGTTTTCTGCTGTCAGCCAGGAGCACACTGGGCCTCTGTGGGCACTATTAATGACCACAGAATGAAAATGGCAGGGGATTTGGTTTCAACACCTCTTCCATCCAGTGGCTTTTTCACTTGTGACACTGAAACTACGAGGGCTGCTTCGCCAAGGAGCCACCTGCTGAGCCCTACCAGAATATTTTAATGTTCCTTCCCTCCATTTCCCTGTTCAAAAACAAGGTGAGCTGAGGGACAGGTGTTTGTCACTAGGATAGAGAAGGCTTGCTTTCTGTCTTCCTGTATTTTATTTTTTTTCTGGTCAGGTAGGTGTTTACTGGAGTCAGTTTCCAGCCTGCTCTCCTATTCAGTGCCTGTTCTGCAGAGCTAGTAAGGCAGAGGAGCATCTGAAACACAGAGGAAGGAGCCCTGCTAGGGGATGTAGGCACTCCCTGACCCAGAACTTCAGATAGCTCTCATGCATTGAAGTACAAACCAGACAGAGTATGGTTAAACACTATACCTGGTAGTAGGGCTGTGCCAGCTTGGAAGAGGTGGTTTGGGGGCTTCCAAATGGGGAGATAAAAACTTAAGACTTTAGGGGTCACTGTTTTAATTAGAAGTGGGGTATAATTCATTTGGGCGCTCTGAAATCTGAAATAACACTTGGTGATTGTTGTTTGCTTTTGTACTGACTGGAAGTCATGCAGTTTACTTATGGAGTAAAAGCTGACACTGCAGGTAAAATAACTGGCTTAAGCAGACAGAGTAGAAGGGAAACTACCAAAACATCCTACTAGGAATACTGAAGTATGGACTGTGAAACTCCAACACCAGATGAAAGCAGAGTGCATTTACTCAAGGGAGCTGCTGTTGTTCAATGAACTGGGTATCTAAAACACTCCTGCTCTGGTTGGAGTTGTCTGTTATTGTAGGAGAGTTGTGCTTGCGGAATCCTTTTTATGCCAGGAACACAGGTTTGTTTTGGAGGAATTTTTTTTTGCAAATCTGCTTGCTTTCAGTGACGAAAAGCAGTGCTACAGATAGTACGAAGCCTTCTTAATACTAGAGCTTCAGAGTAGGGGAAGGTGAATATTCCTGAGTGTTGGGAAAGTACATCCAAACCTAGAGATTCCTATGTCCAGCAAAGCCAAGGAAGCCCTGTTTCAAGGCTGTGGTGATGTGTTCAGCTTCATAAGTCACACGATGTTGTGAATGCACAAATCTGATGCGCTATAGGGGACAGTTGACACAAACTTTTCTGTACCCTGATGTGGTCCTGGCATTCCAGCACCTTTCTTGTTGTCTCTGGCTGCAGAGAGCTGTTATCTCACAGGTTTCATGGACAAAGGCTTTCAGAGCACGCCGCAGCACTCACCATGTCAGGAACGATTTCTGCAGCTTTTTGGTGGTGTCATCTCTCATTATCACACGGGCTTTCCTTGGGCTTTTCCTTGTCTCTCATTCAGAATTTTGACCTTCCATATTAATTAAATGGGAACTTTCCTGCAGCCAGTGATTGAGTTATTCAGTAATACCTGCCTAAAGCCATCATAATAAAGGACAGAAGTTCTATTTAATGCAAATGATTTGGTTCCAGATGTTTTGATCACATTAAACGATGGCTCAAATTAACCAGAGATCATATTAAGCAACAGGCTACCTTGGCTGCTTTTTCTAATCAGTGTGATTCCTAACATGTTTGTTTCTCAGAACATGCCCTCAAGAAGGCAGTTTCTCTATACATTAGAATAGTGAAATAAAAATAACAGGGAGAGACAGAAGCTATCTAGGGTGGTGCTGTGTTTTTCACGGCAAGGATCTTTCTTTAAATGCTACCTGCTACTAAGATCTGTTTGTGACAGTTTGGGAAGGAATCATTTAGGGCGTGCAGGAGACACTCCAGAAAGTGGCTGTCTTACATAATTTGTCCAAGGCTTTTTGGGCACTGCAGTAGCTTTCTGTGGTCAGAGCAAGTTTCTATGTAAGGAATGGATGGATCTACAAACCTGACATGTCTGTCTTTTTCTTTTTTCTTTCCTTGCTTTGTCCATGCAGCTCGGATTGGAAAAATGAAACGGAGGAAGCAAGACGAAGGGCAGGTATGTCCCCTCTGCAACCGACCTCTGTCAGGATCCGAGGAGGAGATGAGTAGGCATGTGGAACAATGCCTTGCAAAGGTAGAGGCGCAGCAGGATCACCAGCTGCCATTCCCTTCTCCCTACTCTCAGCTCTGTCTGACCTAACATGGGGCAAACACTAACACTGTTGAGCTTGCAGGCAATGCTAACTATGTCTCCCTGAGATCTGTAGTCACTTCCTTTGTCTTGGAAGGTGGATTCTTCTGGATTTTCTCCTGTTTTGCATTAGTGACTCCTTTTATTTCCTGCACTCTTTCACTATTGCTGAAGTCTAAGCTGTAGACAGTAAGTGTAGAGCTGTTGAGTGTGTGAAGCCTTTTATAGCGCTGTATGCTTCCTATGCAGCACAGCAATAAGAGTTCCTTCTGCACGGCAAACAGCATTGGAATTACTTTTGTTGGATTCTTTTGTAACAGGCTGGCACTTGTAAATGTTTCATGACCACCTTACTCCAGAAATCGTGTTTAAGCAGAACTGTTCTCTTGCTGTTTTTCCCAAAGACAGCAAGGAATAAGGAGGAAAAAGCTCCAGGGATGAGAGAATTGTCATAGTTTGCTTTGTAGGGAAAGCCCATAGGAGAGATAACAGATTCATTCATTTTTGTCGTCTCAAGAAGTGCATGGTGTAAAGACAGGTGTCTTTTGATCAGTGTGCCTCAATAATGCTCTAGGAGAGTATTCCTTGTCAGTTCCTGTAGCCTGGGAGCTTCTTCGTGCTGGGGATCAAAGGAATCTGTTGTTTACATGATAAATAGGGAATCTGTGCTCCAAGTAGGGGAACACGTATTGAAATGCACACCAGTGTCATAGGAACCAGAGCTGAATTTTGCTTGTGCAAAAGCAATGACCCCATGCCACTTCTTTTGACTTTAAGGTTGTCATGTTCTTCTAGTTCCCATTTACTTCTGAGCTCAGATCACTGGGAATGGGGAGGGGACCAAATGCTATCCTGGGAACTGTCCTGCTTTCCTTCTCTATCTCACCCTGAGTTGTTAATCCTGTATTGCTATTTCATGCATCTCAACACTCTGTCTCCGCTTTCCCCTGTGCAGAGAGAAGGCTCGTGCATGACTGAGGATGACTCCGTAGACATCGAGAACGAGAATGGCAACCGCTTTGAAGAATACGAATGGTGTGGGCAGAAGAGGATACGGGCCACTACTCTCCTGGAGGGAGGATTTCGAGGTGCGCCGATGTTTTGAGTCTCTTGTAAATCATTCTGCTGTGGTAGGTGACTGTTGCTTGTTGTTAAAGGGAAGGACATGGAAGTTCTCTCACAAAGAATGGGACCTTAACCCTTTGCAAGAATGTAAAGTAATTTCAGCTTTCTGCCCCTCTGGAATGATAAGATTCAAAAATTGTGCAAGTCCTGAGCAAACGCATGGTATTATTTCTTGCTCAGGAAGAAAGTGGTTAAAGAGGGGAATGGGTAGAATGGGGAGATTATTTGGGGAAAATAGATTCTTATATGTTATACCTAGTAAGATATACGTGGAAATATGTGAAGAGACGGAAATAGAAATGAAATTGTAAAAATTCCCAGCCTGGAGTGACGAAAACTGGTGTACCAGCCTCTGGTGATGTATTGAAGGTGACAGCTAAGTCGCTTTAGCACCTGCATAAAATATTAAAGGCCCGGTTGTGCATTTATCACTCCATCCCTTTTAAGGTTGATAAATGAGAATCCAGAAACCTGCTCTGCACCTCCAGCACTGCAAGCCCTTAGGGCTCCCAGACAAACACATTTTATTTTTCCTCCTTCTTCTGCTCCTTCCCCAGTGACGGGGAAATCAGTTACTGAGGAGAGAGTGAGTTATGGCAAAATTTGACCTCTCATGAGCTTTATTGGTGAATGTAATTTTAGCTAGAAACCTGGCCCCTCTCTTACACTCAGCCTTTTGGCCTTAAGGAGGAGGATTTACTAAACTGTTCTTTGGCACAAACCTCTGGCACTAAGGAGAGTCTCACAAGCAATCCACGTAGTGCATACCTAATGAGGGGAGGAATGCTGGCTCCCTCTGTTCAATAAAGAGGGTGGGATGTAATCTCTTCCTATATCAGCTTGGATTTTAATTTAAAATATCTCAAGGGGAAAGGCTGCTAAGTAAGGGACTTGGTCTTAAAAGCCAGTTGTGTGCTCAGTGGAACCTGGCACTCCTGATCTGCTCTTACCTTCCTCTGAAATTATATCATATTAGAGCAGGTATCAGGAGCACAGAGCTGAAGGAACAGCCTCTACTGATTTTTAAAGCCTATCCATCGAAGCTCATGTTGTTTGCTTTCTGTGGCTGTGGCCTTCATTTTTGTTACTTCTTTCTTGCGTGGACAGTTGAATGATACTGGGTAGCAGTCTGATGAGACCATGCAGGGCCTTAGATTTTTCTTCAGTACAGTTATTACGGTCAGTAGCAGAGAAGCATGGGATGCCTGTGTGCTTTTGTCTCTACTAGTCCCGATGAGACAGGATACTCAGTTAATTCCTGATACACCATGCACATACAGAGTGTACTCATGCACTCTGTGCACCAAACAGCTGAGTTTTAGAAGAGAGCGCAATCTTCCACTTTCTTTGGCTAAAGCATTGTGCTGTGCTCACCTGGATACTATTCCCAGTTGTGTCTGAATTAATTCACTGAAGTATGGCCTGAAGTTTTCATACTGCTTCAGTCAGGATGCTCTTCATACGAGGCTCCAGGTTGACAAAGTGTGTGTAATTGATAGGGTTAGGCTGTATAAATGCAGAGGGTTTACTCCTTGATACTTTTTATTTAAACTGGAATTCTCAAGTGTGTTAGTTTGCATTAAATAAGTCAACTACTTTCCTCCACCACCAAAGATTAAACAGATTGTAACAGCAGTCATGGCTGCAACCTTCTCTTCTTGCTGGCTGTATGTGAATCTCTGAATCTGACGTACGGAAATAGCTTTGCTTCCATTGAGAATTATGAGGTCTGTCTCTTCTTTCCTTACTGAGATCTGCATGACACGGTCAACAGCATTTAGTTATGTGGACCGATCCAGTAAAGTATCAGCAAACTGGAAGAGGTGAGCATGGGCAAATCCTCTGTAATTGCCCTGATGGGAAGGAGTTTTAGTTTAGACTCCTGCTCTTGGTGCAGGATGCTATGCTCTAGACAGGATACTATTTAACACCAACTTTCTGCCTAATGTTTTGGGATGGCTAGATGATATCTGCAGGGTACCTGCCTACCCTATGCAAGAAGTTTCCATAAAATGTGGGAAACCAAAGCAAAGCTGGAAAGCTCCCCTAGTTAGCTGATTGAATTTCTTTTTAAGGAAGTTATACTTTTCCCTTTAGTGATTCTCCTGTTTTCTCTGGTCTCTGTTGGTCAGACCTGCTTTGTGCACTCTCAGGTGAAGCTAAGCTGACTGTCCTTTTCCTTTCTCAGCCAGTGTTGGTTCTTCCCATGTTCTAGGGACAGAGTCCCTATTGTACAACCTTGAAGCACAACACGGTGTTCTAGAGATGCTCTCCAGTGCTTAAACCTGCTTTGTCTGGAGTTAGCAAGGCCCTCATTAACCCTTGTCACCCGAGGCTTCGTGTTTGGCTCTGTTCCCTTTGCTGAAAAGTAGCAGTGATGTGGAAATCAAAGGCCTTTTATAATGCCAGACAGCTTTTGCCAGGCTGCAGGGATGTCAGGGACGTCTAAAGAGTTGACATGGGGAAATACATAAAACCAGAGGGGAGAATAGACATCCATGTGTCTCATCAGTTTTGGTTTTAATGGTGTGTTGCTGGGAGGAGATGTCACAGCTGGGCAGTGAGTGGAGCAGGGTGCTGTGGCCAGCGTGTATTGCATGAGTTGGCTCAGACCGTGGGCAGTGTTACAGAAGCAGCTCAAACTTAATACAGGTTCCTGGCTGCCTATTCTTATCATCTTTGGTTAATGGGCAAGTTTATGTGCCTCTCAAGGTCAGGAAAGCTTTGCTGAAAGATCCTGTCAGTTTTTTCAGGTGAGGAAAGGCTGGGAAATCTTTTTTTTTTTTTTTTTCTTTTTTCCTTGAAAGCAGGTCAGGGACAGTAACAGCCCAGCTCAGATTTTCTGGAAGATGGTCTAATACTTGAGAGCAATCACAGGCTGAAAGCCTCACTTGTGTGGTTCCCAGGATGAAGCTTTCTTGCTTCCAAAGCTGCTGCAGGGAAGATCTGCTCCTATTACCTGAGGAGCTGTCTTAGGAAGTCCAGCACAGCCGAAGTACTCCTTGCTTGCCATGGTTCAGTGTACTTGACACAGCAGTTGGAAAGAAAAGGAGATAGCAGCAACTAGAAATACAACCTAGGTGAGAAGTGCTGAGATTAGTATGTTGTCTCTTAAGCAGTTGGGCTTGGTGATGGCATTTGGTCAGGAGTTATTTAGTACATCTAGAGGTTCTCCTGGCTTTGCAAAGCATCATCTGCTATTGCTTCATGTGCTTACCTCAGACTGGATCCGTGCAGAGTATAAATGAAGATTGTTGGCAGTCAGATAGGATTTGAAATGGTTTTGTTTCAGCAGAGGTTCTGTTTGAAGCAGGAATTCATAGTTGGAGAGGTTTCTTTCTTTTGTTGGAGATGAGTGCAGAAGGCTACCAGCATGAAATACCTACTGCTATTTTAATCAAGCTTTTGCTTCAAAATGTAAAGCCATACAGAAGTATTAATAAAATATTTCCCAATCTCACAACTGTCACGAGAGTGAAATTTCTTTTGAAATTCCTGAACTATCTGTCCCCATGTCCCTGGATCATCCCTCTCTGATGGTCTTTGTTACAGGAGATTATTTCGTGCAATCTTTGTCTAATGAGTTTCTCTGTTTAGGAAGCCAACGAGGCTTCACAAGTGAAAGCATCAAGTGGCTCCCTCTCTGATGGGTTTTTTTTTTTTACCACTCAACGTATTTGTAGCAATTCTTCTGTTCCTCTCCAGAATGGATGCACGTTACCCTCAGTGTTTACACTGTAAGGTTATCCCTTTAAAGATTTCCTGAGGGAAGTTCAAAAGGGTTTTTTTTCTTTGAAAGATTCACTGTCTCTTTTTGTGTGTATGTCTCTTACTTGAAAGAAGGAAAAAGGAGGGGGGGAGTGAAAAAAAGTGCTTTATCTGAAAAGAATCGCATCAGCTTCGTGCTGATAGAAGCTGCTGTCATCTCTTAAACGGCTTAGCACAGTCAAAAGGCAAGAGGACTTAAAACAGTGTCTTACACAGGGATCGATGGGTGGAACACATAACTCGTAACTGAAAAAAAAAAAAAGCACGGGGGGAGAGATAACGGTAATGATTGCATTGAGGGAAGCTTGAGGGAGGCTTGTTCTTTGTAACACAGCTTCAAAGGTGTCTGGGCCGATGCCTGAGCAAACTGTCCTGTGAAGTCGTGCCTCTGTAGGGCTGGGAGCAGGGGATGCTTGCACCCTTCTGTTCCCCAGCAGATGGGACAAAGTAGATGAGTAAACACCAGGTTAGGAGCTCCCTTCTGCTGCCTTGTGCTCCGTGAGGGGTTCTTCCCACTCCATCTCCGGCCGCTCTCTGGAAGGGGCTGTCCGGGAGGGAGCTGCTGGGGCTGGCGGGGGGACAGGATGTCAGTTTATCGATCGCACCTCAGTCAGGAGAGCTGCAGGCGCAGCGCTCTGAGCACGAGCGGCAGCGTGCTTAATGTGATTGAAAGGCAGTTAAAATGGCGGTGACCTTTTCAGGGGGAATTAGATTGCCTGCCAAGAGTGGTTAGAGGGAGTGATAACGCCAGCTTGAGGAAGCTGTCCAGTCTGCTTCAAAGGGAGGGAGACAGCGACAGGGAACGCAAGCTAGTAGCAAGTACCATTTAAAGCACGAACCACGCGGTCTGATGGAACAGAGATTGCTGTCCTCTTTAGATATGAAAAGATTGAAGAATTGTAGCTAAGTTCTCTCCACCCGCACCATCCTCCTCTCTTCCATCTTCCCTCAGGCAAAGCTTTCCTCTGGACATGGAAGCAAGATAGTCACCGTTGCTTTTGGGGGTTTCTTCAGCAGGTTAGTTTCACAGAAGAGAGAAAGACTTAGAAAGTATTGATGGTAAACAGGGAATTTTCAGGGATGGATGCCTTCTAAGAAAGATTGCTGTGATGACAACTGATGGATTGTGAATGCTTCTGAAGATGAATTGAGGATTGCTTGACTCAAGCTTCTCTTTCGCAGAATCATTAAGTTT